GTGGGTCACTGATGCACTCGGTAGCTCTGTGTCATCTCTGTTGGGCTTTCCCACATGTGTTTGTCAAAAGCCTGTGGCTGAAGCTGCTCAGGAAGCAAGGATGCCCAGGCAGACTGACGCTCCCTGTCCTGGTTTAGAGGACATTTGCTGGGCTACAGGGTGCCTCCTTTCCCCACCTCATTGCTGTCTTTGATAAAAAATGAGCCCTGTGTGGGTCCTCTTCATCTGGATCTTGCTGACAGTGATGCTGCCTCTGACAATTTAGTGTCCATGTGGGTTGAGCACAACATATAACAGAAATCTGTTTACCCTGTCCCTGGTTGATTAGGTGTGTTTTGTGACCTTCGGCACATTGTCACAGGTATGCCAGGTACACACCCTGCTGGTTCTGGCTGATGTGTTTTTGATAAAAGGTGCTCTTTTTTCTTTTTAAGGAGGCCTGGTGGCATAGTAGCAGAGCAGACATGTTAGTCAGCTAACCAAAAGGTTGGCACTTCAAATCCACCAGCCACTCCAAAGGAGACAGATCTAAAGATTGAGAGATTCAGAACCCAGTAGTGGTTTTGAATTCCTGACCTTGGCCTGGGGCTGAGCACTGTCTGCAGTCCACACCATGCTGCCATGTCTGTGCTGAGTACACTGCTGCTGAGGGGACTGTTGTTCCCAGCCCAGTGGTCGGGGTCGTGGACCCCCATCATCAGGCTCACTGCCTGCTTCATCTGTTTCCCTGTGCTGCCAGACTGGGTCCTTTCACACCTGGAGAAGTACAAGAAGCAGGAATGAAGGGGACCACGCTCCCCTGCCCTGTCCCCTGATCACCACCACCCATCTGATCATGTTCCTGCATTGCTGACTGGATAGTCCTGAATCATCTCCTTCAGTTACAGTGACCTCTCCTGCAATTATGACCTCCTGATGTCTCCATAGTGACATCCTGGGACCACAGATAGAAGGTCCTGCCCGAGGGGTCTCAACTTACAACAATAAAGCATATTTAAATTAAAAAAAAATACCCAACAAAACCAAAACCAGTAGAGAGTGACCATGAGTCAAAATCTACTTTTAGCAGTGGGTTTTGCATACTTTTCATTTAGACAGCTTTGTTAAGGAAAGAAACTCTGGTGAGTTAGTGGTAAGGAGTTGGTGCTGTCAACCCAAAGGCACTGAGTTCAACTCTACCAACTGCTGTGCAGGGAAAATGATGGGCAATCTCCTGCTGTGTGATTTACTATCTCTAAAACCCGTTGGGGAGTCAGCTATGAGTTGGTTCACACTTGACAATACACAGCAGCTTATCCCCACCCTAGCAACACTCACCTCCTATCTCTGTTGATTCCCCCTTTCTGGACATACTGCATCTCTAGAAGATACCCCAGGTGAAGGGCTTCTTAATTCATGACTAGTTCCAAATGACGGGGGCTTTCCTGCTTCAGAATGTGGTTTAGTTTGCTTTGCTAGTTGCCTGTGATTTATTGCTGTTTGGCACAGAAGCAACCTTTCAGTCCAGAGATCAATGTAGTGTGGAAAATCTGCTTTTATGCCCTCTCATATTGAAAGACGTGGGAAAAGCGTGAGTCCTGTGCTTCTGCTTTGAAAGATTGTCTCCTGGTTTGGTGAAATAAACCTGTTGTCGTGCTAGTTAGTTGGCTCTGACTTGTAGCGACCATGTGTGAACAGGATGAAGCCTGCATAGTCCTGTGCTGTCCTCACCGTCTCCACTCGTGCCTATCGCTGCAGTCACTGGCACGCCATCGCTTTGAGGGGCTTCCTCTCCTTCGCTTTGCCTCTCCTTGTCCAAGCATAATGTCTTTTTCCAGGAACTGACCTCCCCTCCTCCCCACTTCATGCCGAAAATACTTTGGTTAAAATTAATCTGAAAACAACTAGAGAGGGCAGCATATAAGTGTTCAGCCTTGGGTTGACTTGATTGTGGGGCTGAATGTTTCTGGTTTGTTCTTTTCATTCTTCTTCCCCACTACCACAGTTAAGAGGCATCTGTTCTTTTTTTTGGTCATCTTGTCCAACTTTCACATGAATATGTTGTTGTTAGGTGCCATTGAGTCAAGTATGACCCATAGTAACCCTATGAATCCTATTCTGTGCCATCCTCATAATTTCTGACACACTTGAACCCACTTTACCAGTTAACTGTATCAGTCCATCTGGTTGAGAGACTGTCTCTCTTTTGCTGACCCTCCACCCCTTCCAAGCATGATGTCCCTCTCCGAGGAATAACCTCTCCTAGTAACATGTGAGACAAAGCTTTGTCATCTTTGTCATCACTCTGATTGCACCTTCTCCAAGACATATTTGTTTGTTCTTTTGGCAGACCATGAGATATTTTGTATTCTTCTCCAACACCACAGCTCAAAGGCATCAGTTTTTCTGTCATCTTTATTCATTGTCCAGCCCTAAGCAACATAGCAAGTGATTGAAAAGATCATGGCCTGAACCAGGAGTACCCTAGTCCTCCTAAAATGACAGACATCATTGCTTCTTAATAATTTGGAGAGATCCTTTACTTCAAACTTTCCCAGAACAATACATCTCCTGATCTCCTGACTGCTGTTACCAAGGATGTTGATTGTGGATCCAAGTAAGATGAAGTTGTTGACCGTTTCAATCTGCCCTCCATCTCTCATGATGTTGCGTGTTGGTCCAATAATGGATATGAATCTGAGCTGCTTGAAAATGTCACGACTTAGAACAGGTGCATCTTAGCCCCTCAAGTGACATCCTTGCTCTTTAACACTTTGGGGTATCAAACACATGTATCTTGGAAGTACAGCCTGACTACTTCTTAGAGGAGAGACTGACGTGTTATCAGGAGAAACCAGTCCCTGAAGAAGAACGCCAGTGAAAAAGAGAAGGACCCTCAGTGAGCTGATTGACTGAGTAACTGCAGCAATGGGCTCAAGGCCAATGGAGATGATGTGATGGAGCAGGATTGGGCGTGGTTTCTTTCTCTTGTCCATGGGATTGTGTGATTCAGAGCCACTTCCATGACACCTAACAGTAGCTCCACATGGAGCACTTCATGCTGGACACAGTGCCTGGAACGCCCTCTCGCAGGGGGTTGTTGTTAGGTGCCATCAAGTCAAGTACGACTCATAGCAGCCCTGTGAACTGAATCCTGTTCTATCATATGCCAGCCTCACACAGGATCCTGAGAGACAAAGTGGACACTTGCTGCAGGAAGGCAGGCATAGTGCTATAGAGTCCAGTTATTTCTTTTTCATTTTGCTCTGAAAAAGACATAACACTTCTCCAGGATTTGCTTCTCTAGGTTCTGTAGCCTTTTCCAGGCAGATGTATCTGGCTGGAGTTTTATAATGTTCCTTTTTTTCTTGAATTAGATTCAGGATACCCTGAAACTCAAGCCCATCAAGGGGTGTGCTCAGTGCTCAGATGAGAGCAATTACAATCAACTACTGGTACCAAGGAGTGGCCTAGCTTACCTCTGGGGCTGGGAGTTGAAGGGGGTTGTCTACCTAGGCCAGGGGTCGAGAGAAACATCCAGAGGAGATGGGTAGACAGGAAAGGTGAAGGAGGATTCATATGAGACACTGGCAGTGCCCTTTCTCCTCGACCTACCGTCCTCAGCTCCGACCTTTGACTGCTGATTGTCCCTTGGCCTGTGTGATGGGCAAATGTCCAGAGAGTTATGGAGTCTAGTGCTATGCCTTTGAAAGTCACGTTTCTACAGTGGATATGTATTTCTTTAATACAGAAGATAAAGATAAGGACAAATATGAGCACACATCTGACATCTTCATTGGTTGGTTGGTTTTTGTTTTTTTTTTAAAAATTCAGGTACATTTTATTAAACTACTTTTTATATTTTCATTTTCACTCATTTTTTAATTAATCATTTTTTATTAATTTTAATGAAAATTTAGAGACTTTAGATTTCCATTCATTCATTGTTGCACTTTTCTCCCTGCCCATACCCCACCCCAGTTCACTCTTCTCTTTGAAAAGTAGGAGAAAAATTCTTTAATTGTTTTATAATCTCTCCCCCCAGGTGCACTCCACTATGCAGCCTTTGTTCTGAACTCCTGTCATGACAATAATACCTAATCACATATCCCTTTTAAACAGTTTTCTCCCTAATCTGTTTCAATGCAGTGTACATAATTTATCCCATCTTTCTCAGTCTCCCCCCAACCCCGATGTCAGTCCCATTTTACAACAGTGACATTATGCAGTATTTGTCCCTTTATGACTGAGATATTTCACTCAGCATAATGCCTCTGTGGTCATCCATTTGAATAATAGTTCATGAGTTCCTTGTTTTTCAATGCAGCATAGTATTCCATTGTGTGAATATACCAGATCTTCTCTATCCATTTGTTTGTTGATGGGCACTTAGGTTGTTTCCAAGTGCTTGCTATCTTGGACAAAGCCACAGTAAACATGGGTGTGCATATATCTGCTTGGGTGGCAATTATGGTTTCTTTAGGGTAGTGGAATTGCTGGGTCAAATGTTACTTCTATTTGCAACTTTTGAGAAAGTGCCACACCACCTTCCACAGTTGTTGCACCATTTTACACTTCCACCAGCAGTGAATAAGGGTTCCAGTCTCTCCACAATCTCGCCAGCTTTTGTTGCTTGCTGTTCTGTTAAATTTTGTTATTCTTACTTGGGTGAGATGGTATCTCATAGTTGTTTTTATTTTCATCTCTCTTAGAGCTAGGGATTTTGAATATTTTTTCATGTGCTTGTTGGTCATCTGAATATCTTCTTTGTTGAAGTGTCAGTTCATATCCTGTGCCCATTTCTCAATTGGATTGTTTTCCTTTATCTTATTGTGGTGTATTGTTTAGTATTTTACTGTATAAAAAAGTTGTCCTGGGGGAAATGCAGACATTGGAACCACTCAGTCTTGCTGCTTCCTCTTCTTTTGGGAAGCTGGGGGGGTTGCAGGCCCCTCCTGAAGGTGTGTATTTGTTCTCCAGGATTGCCCTCTAAGCCATTTTGTCCTGGCTTTGTGTTGCAGGCTTTTGTCATGTTCCCAAGGTGGTGGGAAAGTGCCGAGCCTCCTTCCCAAGGTGGTGGTACAACGTCACGGCTGGATCCTGCCAGCAGTTCCTGTATGGAGGCTGTGAGGGAAACAATAACAACTACCTGACTGAAGAGCAGTGTCTTGAGAAATGTGCTGGCGTCTCAGGTAAGAGAGGGGCTGATGTAGCTGAAAAAGCAGGAGAAGCAGAGGCACAATGTGAAGGTCAGCCCTGAGGTGAAGCCACAGCTTGCATTCCCCTTCCTCATCTTCCCAGAATACAGAGGCTACAGGCTGGCTGGGAGTGGGAGGTCTGACTTCCTCTCACCCTTTGCAGAGCTGGAGTTTTCACTGAGTTTCACTCAGCAAAGGGAATTGATTGCGCCTTCTTATGGGGAGCCCCAAGCATTTGAGTAATTTTTGCCTTTGGGTCAAATGACGACTCACTCATTCAACCAGGTTATGGGTTAAGTCCAGACTGGACCACAGTTTCCTAAAATCTGCCCCCATCCAGCCCTCAGCTCTTCTGGATCCTACAGGCTTGGGGTTGTGTTGACCTCTAGAACCTCACATCTCACATGAAAACTAAAGTGGCTTGGAGTGGTGAAAAATGCTTGGAAGTACAGCATGGTGATGCACACTTAAAATTGGTTTAGATAGTAGGATTTTTGTAACTTGGGTAGGTGAGGGAACTAACCTCTCTTGTTCACTCCAAAATCCCCATGTAATTTACAGTTGACCCTTAAACAACCTGAGTTTCCTAGCAAAGGTCTCTTAAGCATGGATCTCCACCGTCCCGTCCCCTCCTGCTTTTTGTTATCACAGTGAGCTCACAGTAACACTGTGAGTATCTGCTTAAAACACCCCATAATCCCTGACATACCCATGTGAAAGGTTCATCTAGAGAACTGACTGCTGGAGGATCTGGCCACCGGACCCCCTCCCCTCTCTCCAACTTGTGTGAAGTTGCTTGTACACCTTTACTTGTTGATTCTGGTATCAGCATGCAGAATTGACCTCATTGTCTTATACTGGGTCAGGCGAGTCTGGGCTCCTGGGCCTCAGCCCTATTTCCTGGGAGGTGTCTGTCCTCATCGGCTGTAATATCCCTTGGCTTTGAGCTGTACATTCAGAAATTGGCCAAGATTACTTACCATAGTTATGTCTGAAGTGGGAAAAACAACAATAGACTTGGCTGCAGCCCAGAGTTTAAAATCCATATATGAGGTATACAGGTGTTAGACAGTCACAGTTGTGGCCACCTGTTGGCAGTGGGGGAGCTGACACCTCTTTCCTCCACTTGTGAGCAAGATGCATTAATTGTATTTTCTGTTGTCAACTGTGACTCAAAGGATCCCTACAAATATTTTTGTACCTGATTTGTTACCCCTTGTCTTCTTGAAAGTGGGATGTTTTAAAATCCCAGAAGTGGACAGAGGCCATTAAGACAAGAGTCCAACACAAAGGGATAAGATTGTTAGGTTTTGCTAGGGGAAGGTAGGCTGATCTTCTTTCTCCTTGAAGATGTCCCAGAGTCTAGTTCAATCTTGAGATCCCAGAACTTTGACTTGTTGTCTTCTGCGTGTGACCGAGGGACCCCTGGTGATGTAGTGAGCAGCTATCCAAAGGGTTAGTGGTTCAAACTCACCAGTTGCTCCTTGGGAGACATATGTAGCTGTCTCCTCCTGTAAAGATTTACAGTCTCAGTACCCAGAGGAGGATCGCGGTGAGTGGGACTCAACTGGGCGGCAGTGGGTTTCGGTTCTGGAAGTGCCTGCTGTATGTCACTTCTGTGAGTCTATGAGGAGAGCTCCAGCATGTTCTCTCCTCAGCATGCCAGCTCTGTGAGCAGCCTGCTCTGATCATGAGAGTGGTCTTTTATCCATTGATAGTGAGAAATGAAACTCCCCTGAGGTACCAGATCCTCGAGGCCCAGGGTCTGCAGCTGTGACCCACTGAGGGAAGTCCTAGAGGGTATGGGGGTGGAGTGAGGCAGAGCCAGGAGAGCTGATCTGAGATGTGGACATTTGATGGCGCCAGGTCAAACCAGTTGAGTCTCTCCTGGGACTCACAGGGTGGTACGCCAGGAGCCAGGGTCCCTCCCTCCCGGACTCTGTCCATTCTCTTCATTTTATGCTTTCATGATTGCCAACTCTCATCACCCTACCTCTTAATGTTTCCATTTTTTTCAGCTGCCTAAACGCAGTTTACCAGGTTACAGGACCCAGTCTTTCAAATCCCACAGCAAGTCATGAGCCAATCCTAGTGGTTCCCCTTTGGCCATTCTTGGTTCCTTGTTTCTGAGCTCTGGGGCCTTGTGGTCTTTCATGCACCCTGTGCATCCCACACAGAGAAGACGTAAGAGCCAAGCACCTACCAGGAAGGCAGGGGCTGCGTGTTCTCACTCTGTGTGTGTCTGTCCCCTTGTAGAAAAGAGTGACGTCAACGTGCTAGGCAACAGCAAGAATGGTGCTGAGTCCTCCGTCCCTAGTGGTAAGTTCTTTAAAAGCCCAGTCTGGGCTGAGGGCCACTCAGAGGAGTGATTAGGGGTGGACATCCCTCTCTAGGGGTCGTAAAGGGCTTCACCTCCTGGCAGTCTGCGCTGCCACCGATGGGTGCTCATGGCATCCAGCAAACAGAAGGGCTGTGGAAGTTTGCGCTGCTGCCTCCTGGGGCTGGGTGGCAGTGGCCCTTGCTCTCTTGGACCCCCTGGCCTCTTGCCCACCTCTTGCCTGCTCTTCCTCCTTTGCACTCTGTCATCCTTGCTGTCTTTCTTGTCCTCACCCACCCACCTCGGTAGGTACTTGATCTCTAGCTTTGTCTTAGCTTGCTTTGTAGCGCTGGCCGCCGCTGTCCCAGTCCTCCTTTGTTTAAAGGACTCGGCACCAAGAGCCCGGGTGAGTGGTCCAGGCACACTAGGAAGGAGCAGAGCACCCAAGTGACCAGTTCTGACATCCCAGAGGCTGCTTCCCTGACAACAGAAGGAGGGGACAAGCTACCTGGCCCCCAACCCAAGGTTGCCACTCTCCTGCCAGCCAAAGTTGTGGTGGTGCCATAGGCCTCACCCAAAACCGGTGACTGGTCAGAGGACTGCCTGGAGGTCAGGCAGGAGTCACTGTCAGCTTTGCGAGTCAGGAATCCTGGGGCCATCCCAGCTGTTGCTTCACCTAGATTTGCTATTATTCCCTAGCTGGCCTCCATGGTTGCCCTGAGCCCTGGGGACCTGGATGATAAGTCATGTTTCCATCTTCTTTTGGATGAAAATGTCCCTAGGAATATGAGGGTCCACTGTGTGTCCGAGAGCGTGTAAGGAGACTCGTCCATGTCACCCAGAAATGTCATGGGAATTGGTTCCACTTAGGTGGCTGGAGGGCCTTTCCCTGCAGCATTCCATGTTCTTTTGAGTCCATTAGGACTGGGAGGTGACGCAGCAGAGCTGCCACAGGAGGACACTGCCCACCCCTGATCATTCCCGGGGTCCACGCTCTCTCAGTGGGCCTGGCCAGCCTAAGCCCTGCCCGGCCGGTGCCTGTGTCTGCCTAGGCCTCTGACACATGTTTGTGTTTCAGTTCCCGGAAAGCAGAATTCTGATGACCTCATTGGCAATGTCTTCAGCTATGAAGGTACACTTGAAAAAAATACTCTTAGAGGGCCAACTGGGTTTTCTTACTTGGTTTGGAATTGAGGACTTTCAAGTCAGGGTCCCAGGTGAGAAGCAGGTCTTCTTACAGGTCGGGGAACTTTGCTTTCAAGATAGTCAGGTCTTGAGAGCGTGAAGGTCAAGGCTTCTCCCACTCCTCCGCCTCCCCTCCCCATGTGAGATGAGGTCTCAGAGATGAGCTCGGACCTCACACATAGTGCCCAGCGCATGCAGCAGAGCAGAGTCAAGCGTGGTCTGGCCCCAGTGTGTTACTGAGAATGGGAGGAGAGTGTTGGGTGGGCCAGGCTGGCCACACTGGGCTTTAAAAGATAGTTCTTCACCGACCAGTAACCGCATGGTTTCTCAGCAGAGTTCCCGCTCAGCTTCACTGGTGCCAGGCCTTGCTGACTTGTATTTCTTGGGCTGCCTTGCTTCTAGAATACTGCACCGCCAAAGCTGTCACCGGGCCTTGCCGTGCAGCCTTCCCACGCTGGTACTTTGACACGGAGAAGAACTCCTGTAACTCTTTCATCTATGGCGGGTGCCGGGGCAATAAGAACAGCTACCACACCAGGGAGGAGTGCATGCAGCGCTGCTTCGGTGAGTCGGCTGCTGCCAGCTCCAGGCATCCCCAAGGGCCCAGCTCGCCCCCAGCCCCAAAACAAGGACCTTTAAAGTGTAATTGGAGCTGGAACACTCTTCCATTGCTGTTAGAAAAGCACAATGGTACAGTCATTGTGGGAAACATTTTGATGATTCCTCAAGAAAACACTGCCATGGTGATCTGCCATTACAAATAAAGTTATACAATTGTTTGCTTTTTAAGAAGACTTCAGTAGATATTTTTGATCTAAGGTTTAAAGATTGTCTTAGGGCAGTAGTGTCCTTGAGAATGTAAAATTCTTTCCTCCATTTCCTCCCCCGAGATTCTCTCCCTGATTTTGCTATGGATTACTTGATGAAACTGTTTAGTAACAGTACCCAGGCACCGTCCAGTTCACGTCCCACAGCAGAGCAGGTAGTTGTTCATGGAGGCAGTTAGCCACACACAAAGCCCACTTCTTCCTCCTCCTCCTCTTCCTAACTCTCCTTCTTCCTCTTTTGCTTTTGTTATATTTTTACAACTTTAAAAATGTGATTTGGATCCCTTCTCACACTCTAGCTCTCCAGGTAGGGAAGGGGCATACTTGTTGTTGCTACCTGGGTGGCAAGACCCTCAGGCCTCAGAAAATTTGTACCAGGTCCCTCAGGCAGCACTCCCCACAGAGACTCCAAGGCTGGGAGGGGCAGGAGGCCTGGGAGCTAACTTTCGTGTCTTCTCTGCTAGGCAAAGAGTCATACCCAGTCCTGCCCTACAACTCTAAAGGTAAGTGGCCTCTTACCTTCTGCCTGCTGCTTGCTGCCTTCTTGCTTAACTTGGCCCAGCTTTGTTCAGCTGTGTTTGTGCAGCCTTCTGCTGTCTCAGACACATTTTCCCTCCACTGTAAACATCTCTTTAGTAGAAGTCATATTCTCCCTGAGAAACGCCAGGCAGCTGGGAACATGTGTTGGATGCCTGTCCCACCCTTAGATGCTATCTTGGGCTGGGGCTTGAGTCAACGACAAGAGGCTGCCTCTACTGGGTAACCAGGGTGACCCAGGTGTGGGCCGCCCCCTAAACCGGGCAGGAGATTCTGCTACACACTGGATGTGTCTGGCTGGAGTTTAGGGGGGACCTTTGCTGCTGTGTGGCAGAAAGTCAGAGAGCCTTGCCCTGTCCCAGCTGAGTGAGCCTTGTGGCCCAGAGCTGTTTGTCCCAAGCAATCTGGTGCAGGAAGGACGTTGGTGTCCTGTCGCTTCTCTTTGTTTCTGGTTCTGCTGGTATTGGCACCAAGAACCTGCCACACTGGTTTGGCTTCTTTCTGTCTGTTTCTTAGCCTCTGCATCTGCTCTATTCAAGAGCAAAGCTGGAGTCCAATTTGCCAGCCCTGGATCAGTAAGAGCCCCGACTGGCTGAAATGGGGAGGGGGCAGTCTTAGGGGAGAGGGTGCCAGACAGCTACCAGAGAGATCACATTCCTAGATGGAGCCTGCCTCAGAGAAAGCTTCTAAACTCCACAGTGGGGCAGCCACTGTTACATTCACCATGAGGATCCCATCTTAGCACTATTCCCAGGATGCCCTGGCCTCCACCCTTGCCTCCCTCATTCCACAGACAGCCGCACAAACCACCTACAAGCTCACCTCTTCTGGTTGTGTGTGGGTGGGTGTGCATACACACACATATCCCCTCAAAGATAGGTGTTCTGGATACCTTCCTGTGCTGCTTTTAACAGGAACCCTTTTTAGAGATGTAGTAGATTAATTATCAGGCTGCTAAGTTGATAGTTTAAAGCCACCAGCTGCACCACAAGAGGCGGTTGAGGTAGTATGTTCCCACTGTCTCGGAACCCGATGGCAGGTCACCATGAGTCAGCACTGACTTGACAGCAAGGAGTTTGATGTGGGTTTTGTCCTTCTTTTGATTTGGGGCTTTTGTACAGTTTGTCCCTGAGAAGTGGCAGGGAAATACAGAAATGAAGTATTACTGTCCAAAAAAGAAGGAACGTGGGGGCATTCAGTTTATGTGCACATAACATGCACCTTCTCCCAAAACCCCCCTTCGTGGACAGAGTAGGGCATCTCCCCTCAGCTCTCCAGACCACCTGGGCTAGCACTCGGCCGGGGCTGTAGAGCCCTCCAGAACAGCGGTCTAAAGCCTCTCTCTTCCCAGTGATGGTCCTAGCGGGGCTCTTCATGATGATCCTGATCCTTTGCCTGGGAGCTTCTGTGATCTGTCTTGTGCGGGTGGCCCGCAAGACCCAGGAGTACGCTCTCCACACCGTCTGGACCTCCGAAGATGACAAAGAACATCTGGTGAAGAACACATACACCCTGTGACGCTGTCACCGCAAGACCCAGCAGTGGAACAGCAGGGAGGGAGAAGACATTGTACAATGTGTGCCTGTGTGTGTGCTTTCCAAGTGGAATGACTGATTTGTACTGTTGGATCATTAGGTCTTATGGTCTTTTTGTTGCTCCAAAGGCACCAACTGCTCTTTACGGGGCACGTCTGCTTGGGACATCTTTCCGGGGACGGCTCTCAGTGTCGCAGGGGACGTGGTTTAGAAGGGTACGGCATTGCCTCCTCTCTGATGTACTGCCCTGTGCCAGATTCATTTCCTTGACTTCTGTGAAATTTTTTTCTTGCCCCTTTTACAACATCACGAAAGGGATGTTCTCTTACTAATTTTCTTTGTTTGATAAATTGAGTTTAGATTTTTTTAATTAAATAAGTAGAAACAAAAGGTGTTTTTTTATTAGGTTTCTGAAAGAGAGACTATAAAATATACAAGCATAATAATAAAGGTCATCACATTAAGTCAAAAGTGTGTGCTTGCTTTCTTTAAGTGACCACTAATATAAACGCTATAAAAAAAATCTGTCAAAACAACTATGAGGTATCATCTCACCCCAGTCAGAATAGCAAAATTTAACAGAACAGCAACAAACGCTGGCGAGGTTGTGGAGAAACTGGAACCCTTATTCACTGTTGGTGGGAGTGTAAAATGGT